TGCCAGTTTCTTCTTCTGGTATTTTTGTCCCAGAAGGATACCCGCCAGATGTCAGTCTGCACTCTCCTTTATGAGGTGACTCTTTGGATATATGGGGCTGGGGAGCTGTTTGAGGAGACAGTCTGTCCGTTATAGGAGCTCAGGTGCTGAGCTGTGAGCTCCATTGTTCCATTCAGAGCTGCTGGGCAGGTACATTTAAGTCTGCTGCAGCAGAACTCATAAATGCCTTTTTTTCCCCAGGTGCTCTGTCTTGGTAAGGTAGGGATTTATTTATAAATTTCTGTCATGCTGCTGCCTTTTTTTCAGGGCTGCCCTGCCCACCAAGGAGGCACCCTAGTCACAGTCTACCAACAGAGGTGTTGCTGAGCTGCTGTGGGCGCCACCCAGCTGCCATGTGAACTTCCCTGTAGTCCTGTTTATAGGGGTATAGTTAGAACTGCCTTGGCAAATGGTGGCTTACCTCTTTAATGGCGGACTCTCTCTGTAATGGCAGACTGCCTCAGCAATGGTGGAGTACCTCGGTATTGGTGGACTGCCTCAGTAATGGCGGACACCCATCCCCCTCAGAGCTGGACTGTCCCAGGTTCAGCTGTGCTTGTTGTGAAACGCTCAATCCAGAGCATTTCAGATTGCTGTTTTTTGTGGGGGTGGGACCGGTCGAGTCTGATCACCTGCCTCAGAGCCCTTTTTTTCAGTTGAACAGGCGACTGTGTCTCCCAGGCATCCCAGTCCCCAGTTGAAACGGCACCTGGATTTGTGTGATTTCTTGTGCGTAGACCTGCTGCACCAGCTGAAACAGCCGCTGGAGACTTGTGGTGCATTTTCACTGGGGAATCTCCTGGCCTAGCTCCCTGTTTCAGTCCTTTGTCAGTTGAATGGGCAACTCTGTCTCCCAGGCATTCCAGTCGCCAGTTGAAAAGGCGCCCGGATTTGTGTGAGATTTTGTGCAGAGACCCGCTGCGCTGGCTGAAACAGCCGCACTGGGGGCTCATGGTGCTTTTTTGCCTGGGAACCTTCTGGCCTGGCTCCGTTTCAGTCCCCTTTTTATCAGTTGAATGGACCACTCTGTCTCCCAGGCTCTTCAGTAGCCTGTTGAAAAGGCGCTGGGATCTGTGTGATTTCCCATGCAGCGACCCACTGTGCCGGCTTAAACAGCCACGCTGGAGATTTCTGGCGCTTTTTCACCTGGGAATTTCCTGGCCTGGCTCCCTGTTTCAGTCCCCTTTTTATCAGGTGAATGGGTGACTCTGTCTCCCAGGCACTCCAATCGCCAGCTAAAACAGCTCCCGGACCTGTGTGTTTTGTGCAGAGACCTGCCATGCCAGGCAAAACAGCCATGCTGTTTTGGACCCATGGGGCTCCTCTGCCTGGGATTCTCCTGGTCTGTGGGCAATAAAAATCTGTTTGGAAATGCAGTGTCCACTCACCCCCCACACTCTTGCTGGGAGCTGCAATCCAGAGCTGCTCCTAATTGGCCATGTTGGATCCTCCCACCCCTTGTCTCTTGATCTTTGTTGGTTTAAAGTCTGTTTTATCAGAGACTAGGGTTGTAACCCCCGTTTTTTTTTTTTTTTCCTCTCCATTTGCTTGGTAAATCTTCTTCCATCCCTTTATTTTGAGCCTGTATGTGTCTTTGCATGTGAAATGGGTCTCCTAAATACAGCACACTGATGTATTTCATCCAATTTGCCAGTGTCTTTTGATTGAGGCATTTAGCCCATTTACATTTAAGGTTAATATTGTTATATGTGAATTTGATCCTGCCATTTTGATACTAGCTAGTTGTTTTGCCCATTAGTTGATGCAGTTTCTTCATAGTGTCTGTGGCTGGTACTGGTTGTTTTTGTTTTGGTGTGGAATCATTATGATTTCCTACATATAAGATCATGTCATCTCTAAACAGAGAATTTTACTCGTGCTTTGCAATATGGATACTTTTTATTTTTCTTGTCTAATTGCTCTGTCTAGGACTTTCAGTATTGTGTTGGATAAAAGTGGTGAAAGTGGGCATCCTTGTCACATTCCCAATTGTAGGGAAAAACTTTCTTTCATCATTGAGTGTGACTTTAGCTGTGGGTTACTCATTCATGCTGTTTATCATTTCAGGTAGTTTCCTTCTACTCCTAGTTTATTAAGTGTCTTCATAATGAAAGGATGATGAATTTTGTCAAATGTCAAATTTTTCAGCATCAGTTGAAATGATCATGCACTTTTTTAGTTGTCATTCATTCTGTTAATGTACTATATTATGATGGTTGATTTTTGCATGGTGAATCATCTTTGCATTCCAGGAATAAATTCCGCCTGGTCATGGTGGATATTCCCACTACTATGCCAGTGAATTCTGTTTGCTAGTATTTTGCATCCTGGTCTGTATATTCTTTTGTTGTATTATCTTCAACTGGCTTTCGTGTCAGGGTAATACTGACCTCATTGAGTTAGGAAGTGTTCTTTCCTCTTTAACTTTTTGTAAGAAATTGGGAAGAACTGGTGTTAATACTTCTTTAAATGTTTGGTAGAATTCATCAGTGAAGCCATCTGGTCTAAGACTTTTCTTATTGGGAGGTTTTTGATTACTGATTCAATCTCCTCATTTGTCTAAAGTGTAATCATTTCTATTTCTTCATCATTCAGTTTTGGTATAGTGTTTCTAGGAATTTGTCTATTTCATCGAGGTTGTCCAATTTGTTGCTATACAGTTGTTTATAATAGTCTCTTAGAACCCTTTATTTCTGCAAATTCAGTAATGCCCCAACTTCTCTGATTACTAATTAGTAATTTGAGTCATCTTTGTTTCTTAGTCTAGCTAGAGGTTTGTTAATTTTGTTGATCTTTTCAAACAGCCAATTTTTGTTTTTTTTCCATTTTACTAATCTCTGCTCTGTTCTTTATTATTATTTCCTTCCTCCTGCCTAGGCTGCTTTTTCTTCTAGTTCCTTAAGAGGTAAAGTAAGGGCCGGGCGCGGTGGCTCACGCCTGTAATCCCAGCACTTTGGGAGGCCGAGGCGGGTGGATCACGAGGTCAAGAGATCGAGACCATCCTGGTCAACGTGGTGAAACCCCGTCTCCACTAAAACTACAAAAAATTAGCTGGGCATGGTGGCGCGTGCCTGTAATCCCAGCTACTCAGGAGGCTGAGGCAGGAGAATTGCCTGAACCCAGGAGGCGGAGGTTGCGGTGAGCCAAGATCGCGCCATTGCACTCCAGCCTGGGTAACAAGAGCGAAACTCCGTCTCAAAAAAAAAAAAAAAAAGAGGTAAAGTAAGTTAGGTTATTCACTTGAGATCTTTTTAAATATATGTGTTTACAGCTAAAAATTTCCATCTGAGCATTGATTTTGCTGCATTTCCTAAGTTTTGGCTTATTGTATTTCCTTTTCATTTGTCTCAGTATTTTCTGATGTCTCTTATATTTTATTTCCATCATTTACTTTCCATATATTTGCAAATTTTCTACTTACCTTCGGTTATTATCTAGTTTCATTCTATTAAAATCAGAAAAGATACTTTGTGATTTTAATCTTCCCTAAATCATTAACACTTGTTTTGTGGACTACCATACGGTTTTATCTCAGAAACTGTTCCATGTACACTTGAGAAAAATGTATATTCTATTGTTGTTGAGTGGGTGTTCTATATATGTGAGTCAGGTCCAATTGGCTTATTGTATTGTTCAAGTCTCCTATTTCTTTATCTTCTACCTGGTTTTTCCACCCATTATTGAAAGTGGGGTAATGAAATCTACAACTGTTACTGTAGAACCATTTCTCCCTTCAATTCTGTTAATGTTTGCTCTGTGTATCTTGGGGGTCTGATGATAAATGCATATTTAGTTGTTATATTTCCATGAATTTACCCTTTTCTCAATACTGTGTCCTTCTTTGTCTCCTGTAACAGTTTTTTACTGAAAGTCCGTTTTGTCTGATATTAGTATAAGCCAGCTCAGCTCTCTGTTAGTATTTACATGGAATATCTTTTCCATCCTTTCACATTCAGGCTTTTTGTCTTTAGATCTAAAATGGGTCTCTGTGGACAGCATATAGTTGGATCATGTTTTCTATCCATCTGCCAATCTCTTCCTTTTGGCTGGACAGTTTAATCTCTTTAATGACTGATAAGGAAAAACCAACTGTTGCCATTTGCTATTTATTTTCTCTCTGCCTTAGAGTTTTGTCTCTCATTTCCTCATTACTGTTGTCTTTTGTGTTTAGTTTATTTTCTTGTAGTGACACATATAGTTCCTAATTTTGATATGAGGTACTAGGAAGGATACTGAATATGGCTTTTAAGGGCTGTTTCTAACCAAGCTACACAGGGAAAAGTCTAAAAATTGGGCTATACCTAGAACAGCTCCAAGAAAGTTTCCCCTAAACTGTTCACCTTATGCTCTCCATCTTTTTCCCCGCACCACCTCTTTGGGGACAAGAGACCAAGAAGCTTGCAGAAGTTCTTATCTTCAGTGATTGAGTCACTGTATTGTGAGGACTAGGTCCTCACCCAGAACATGATGGACATAGACTACTTCTCCACTTAAATTATGGTTAACACTCTTCTTTTTTACTCATTGCTTCTGCACCTGTCAGAAGTGGTGTCTCTTGTCACTGAGTGTGTGCTGCTGCTTCCAGCAACAGTTACTTTGAGGTTGTTGTTCCTTCTTTTAATTCTGTTGCTTCTATAAAGGCTAGGTCTTGCCAGCCCAGTCCCCCTTTAGAAATGACCAAATCTGTTCAGGTTTTACTGACTCATCCTGCACACACCAGCTGTCCTTACCCCTTTTTAATGAAAAAGCAAGCTGTGGCTTGGATCCTGTGAAGTGTCAGAGGGAGTACTCTTAGCTTACTCAGGGCTACATTTAAGTCATGAAATACATACCTTAGTTCTCATGAATTGGAAGTTTGACTGCCATCTTCTTTATTTACCTTGTGGATTCGGGGAGAGCAGTTTTTATAACATCTCTAGGAAACACAGGTTTGTAAAAGTCCTTCTCTGTGCTTCTCCTAGGTGCATCATTTCTGGCATGGCTTCAGGAAGCATTGTGCTATTTTACAACGACTTTAACCGGTGGCATCATGAATACCAAACCCGCTATTGATGGTGACAGCTGTGCACTGACTCTGCCCCTAGGATGAGCAGCAGTACCCGGAGCATCATTCTCTTAGAAATAGCTACCACATCTGAATGTAACTTAAATTTGCTCAAAGAAGCAAAATATTTTTTAAAGTTACTAATAATTGCTATTTTTGTAGTCTTTGCTTGACTTTTTCGGTGGGGCGGGGGGGGATTAGCAAAGCAGAAAACTGGCTGCTGGGTTCTGTAGTTTTAAAAAAAAAATCTATATTTTTAGTCATAATGAGAAGTCTATTTTCACCAATTATGGAAACATTCAGTGGAGCAAGTAAACCACTTACTTATTCCAGCTATAATATTATGAAGAACATATCCCATGCATCTACAAGCTTGAGAAATAGGATTTTCACAGTGGGGAAGTGGGTCATAATATTGGGATAGGAAAACTTTATGCTGTAATTTAGGTCCTGTATTTTCCCAAACAATTGTGCTTTTTCAGCACTAATATTTCTGGGATTTAAATAGTAATGTTTAAATTATGGTAAATGTAATTTAAAACATTCAGTTAATTCTATCAATATTATTCTTCAAGCATGTTTTAGACTAGAAAAGTATGGTTTGGGGGAGATTATTTTATTTTATGTGTGGTTAGCACAAAGAATCTAGGTTATAGCAGGTGTGAAATAGTTACTGTTTTTTTCCTGATCTTTCATCTTCATAGCACAACAAAACAAAATGATGGAAATGCTCTTGGGCTCACAACCTTTGTTTTTCTTTTAAAGTAAATGCAAGTACCAAAGTTCTCTACTGCGGTCTGCCTGTGCCCGGACAATGGGGCGGAGCCATCATTGGGGCACCCCCTTCCCTCTCCGGGTTTGCAAATAATAGAGGCTACCAGGTGCTGTATTCAGCAACACCTGTTTTACTATTTGTTATTAAACTATCTCCACTTTCCTTTTGATTAGCAATTTGTACTAAGAAACAATGTTATTTGGTGTTGTATAATTCTACTTTTCTAGTAGATTACTGTGTGGAATTCTGTGAAAAATATTTGAGAAAAGGCCTGTATTGCATAAATAAATTCTTTGTATGTTGTGAACTTTGATCTCTATTTCTCTTGCAACAGACCTCAAGTGGTCCCTCTTTTTTTCCTACACACTCAGCTATTCTCTAAAAGCAAGGATTTGGAATGAACAATTGTTTGACAGAAAAAGCTGAAAAAAAAAATGGCATCTGTAATTGAATTGCTGGAAATGCCTTTTTTGCTCCTAAATTTTAAACATTAATAAATAATGATTCACAAAGAAAATGTCAAACTTTGATTCAGTCCAAGTTTTTGATCAATAGCCAATGTGAGAAGTCCTCCTGACGGAAAACAAACAGGAAAATGAGCTTTCATTGGCCAGATCTCAACTGGTACTGAGACTCACGCAAATGACCTAGACCTGAATCTTACAAATGCCTAGACAAGGAACTTTATGTGCCATTTCATCTGAGATCCATCAAGAAAGAATATAGATGGTGAAAAGTGGGGGAGGGAAAGTACATTTTAGAATCAAAGAAATACCCAAGTTACTCATAAATTAACTGATGAACATGCTCACTGGCATTAACTTTTGTGAATATTATACTTTGGAAACTTAAGTGAACAATGGTAGAAAAAAATAGCAATAGCTAAGTCATATGCCACACAAATGATACTTTAACCACACTATACTTCACAAGCCTAAAGCAAAGCTCCTCCTGAAACCTGAAAGAAAAAAAATCAGTATCTCCACTCTCTTGTTTTTAAAACTTACAATTAAGGAAAATTAATTTAAACATAAGTAGGCTGGGCTCAGTGGCTCACACCTGTAATCCCAGCACTTTAGGAGGCCGGGTGGGCGGATCACTTGAGGTCAGGAGTTTGAGACCAGCCTGGCAAACATGATGAAACTACAAAGAGTAGCCAAGCGTGGTGGCAGGTGCCCGTTAATTCCAGCTACTTGGGAGGCTGAGGTAAGAGAATCACTTGAGTCTGGGAGGTGGAGGCTAGAGTGAGCTGAGATTGCATCATTGCACTCCAGCCCGGGCAACACAGTGAGACTCTGTCTCAAAAACACACACACACACACACAAAGTAATTAAAAATTTTAAAAAGTAATACTTCATAAAACAACTATAGCTGACATCAATACAAGGGGCTTTTATTTATTTTTTGAAATGAAGTCCTGTTCTGTCGCCGGGCTGGAGTGCAGTGGCGCCATCTCAGCTCATTGCAACCTCTGCCTCCTGGGTTCAAGCAATTCTCCTGCCTCAGTCTCCTGAATAGCTGGGACTACAGACATGCACCACCACATCTGGCTAATTTTTGTATTTTAGTAGAGACCAGGTTTTATCATATTGGCCAGGATGATCTCAATCTCTTGACCATGTGATATGCACGCCTTAGCCTTTCAAAGTGCTGGGCTTACAGGCGTGACCCACCACGCCTGGCCCAAAGGCTTCTTGATGGTAGAATCTGTTCAGTATAACATTTACAGTTTATTCAAAATTTACTTTTTCAGTTTTAATTCCTTAAAAAAACTATTACTTTACATAAATGTAAACCGGTTAGGAAAAGAAGTCAAAGGAGAGGTGTTTTGGGGCTGGAGATGAGGGACCCACAACAGAGGAAGCGGTGCAGCTGCACAGTGAGTGGATGCATCTGGATGGGCTGTGCTTGGTCCACACGTAGTAACTGAAGGCTGGTTTAAAATGCACTGCCTCCAGAAATCAGATTTTCCTCCCTGATATACTGATTCTTACTGAAATGCCAACAATCAAGTCCCTGAGATGCTGTCATTTAAGAAATACCATTCAATCTCTGGGAGAAAGTAGGAGGGCCAAGAGACAACATGAACATCTGAAAAACATCGACAGAAACGTGTAGACAATACACTCTCAGATGACAGCATCTTACTCCCCAAGTACAACAAAAATAAACATTTTCATACATTACTTCCATAAAAAGAGCTATTTTATCCACTGAGAAACATCACACCTCACTTCTGCCTAGCATACGCAACAGGAGGATTCAAAGTGTCTTGCATGAGTAGGGCATGAGGTCAGGAACTGATAACCCAGGGTTGCCCTTTCCACTCGCTCTAAGATCAGCCGAGCCTCAGGGTCAGGGGCCGACCACATGCTTGGTGTCACATGTCCTCCTAGCCTGTCAGAGGGGCAATGAGATGGTGGTGGTTGTGTGTCAAGCTTGCAGGAGATGGTCAGGGAACCTGGGATGCAGCCCCGTTGCAGCTACTTTGTACCGTTTTTAACAAACACAATTAAAACAGTTTGCAGCAGCTCAGATCCACCATGAGAAGTGGCTGAGGTAGAGATTTTCACTAGGTTTCTTTGATATCTTTTTACTGGATCTGACCTCAGGACCTCCTAGCCATGCAAATCATGGACCTGGTTTAGTCCTTCCTACTGTGACAGGCCTGCCCCACTCTCCATCCCTGCTAGAGAAGACAGCTGACCCATGATATAAACATATTCCTTCTGGAAAGTAGGAGTGTCATTTAGAAGCCAGATAACCCACCACTGAGCTTGGTGGAGAAAGTTCACCAGTTCCTGGTGTGTGTTCGTTAAGGATTAGCAGCCAGCCCCACAGCCTCACATGGTATCACCTCATGCCAAGGTATGTTCACAAACAGAAGCAGAATGTGACTTACGTCTCAAAATCTGCATAACCTATACCTGAGCAAATGTGCAAGTGCCTCCACTTGGCTATTTTTGCCCTACCACATGGAAGGAAATCATTTCCTACTTCAAGCAGGAGAGGAATCAGCCCAGCTACCCCCATTTTGCGTATCATAAAGTTGAATTACTGTTAATTCTGCAGGCTTCACAAGTTATCCTTGCAGGGGAAGGAGACTGGGAAGTTTCAAAACTTCCTACTTATAAGAAGGAAAGGCAAGACCATAAAGTAGCAAATACATAAACAGCCAAACAAATAAACCTCAGATGAGTGGAAGAAAAATCTTTTGGATTTTTCTTTTAGATAGACTTGAAAAGTTGAGTCCGTGATGAACTTCTTACGTGCTCTATAATCATAAGATTGCTAAAAACCCAAGACTACTGTTGACACCACTGACACATCACTCCCAGCCCTGGCTGCTAAGAACCACAACTGCAGACTGCTCAGAGCAAGGCACATCACATTTTTCTCCCTAATCAAATGAAAGGTGGTTTGGCCTTTAGGCAAGCAATCTCTTTTGAGAGAGTTGGGCTCCTCCTGCAAGCTTGGAAGACAAACTGTGAATGGTCCTGTGAATTATGAGATCTTGGTGATCTATGCCAGAAACATGAAGTGAACTATTTTTCTGTCTCAAATTCAGGGATATTTTTCCTTGCCAAAACCAAGATTCTAGGGAGTTGGGAAGGCTTGTCATTTCCTCATACCTGGCAGGAAGCTGGCTGCTTTGCAGCTTTGGCCTTGGATAATTTGAAAGACAGCCCCAGAACTGACTTCAGCCTCAACACAGACAGGCATCCAAACATGCCTCACAATGCAACAGACTCAGCCTGCCTGACCGTGCTGGAGGCCTGTGGTGCCCAGCTCCGCCCAAAATGAAGGGGCATCGCAGGGGCCAATGACTGTCTCTGTAGCAAAGACAGAGACCATCCCTCAGCCACGCAATGCCAGCAAGGACTTCCCACAGCTGTGTTCGAGTTCAAGGCTTTGGTTTTTATCAAAAATGTAAGATTGCCCCTTAGAACTCCCTGGCCAAGACTCACCAAAGTTGCACATCCGCCTCCCTCTGGAGAAACCACTCTCTGACTTTGATCTAAATGGCCACAGGACTTTAACACTTCAGCGCCCCTGCTGCTGATAACTTCTCAGCCACTGATTAAGTGGTAGAAAATGAAGGGTGGTTTGGCCTTTGGGCAAGCTATCTCTTTTGGGAGAGTCAGGCTCCTCCAGCAAGGTTAGAAGACAAACTGCGAATGTTCCTGTGAACTAGCGCCCCACCTGTGTCTTACACACTCAGCACTCCTAATGCATCTCTGATGGCCGAAAGAGGCAACCTTGTCATGAGGCACCTGCCCACCCTGCCAGCCAGAAACGCTGAGGCCCAGCTCCAGTGAGCCTGGGGAAGCTCTTGACCGTTCCATTTCCTTATCTACTAGACAAGGACATTGGTATCTATCTCTTGGGTCTGTGGCGTATCTGAAGGGAGATAGGATGAAATATCCCGGAAGCTGTAAACTTGTGTGACTGGCATGATCATCTTTAGAAAGCAGCTGATTCTGCAACTGGGTTGCTCTGTTACTAGAATCTTACTCTTACTCTGCCCTCAAATCTGGCCTTTCGTGCCTCCTACCTGCTGACCTCAGGCTGACCATCCAGAGCAACTGAAAAAATGTTGCACCCCTTCTACAGAACAGTCCTTCACACAGCCAAAGACAGTGAGCAAATGTGCCTCTATTTTCCTCTTACCTCACAGTGTTTTTCACCAGTCCTTGGCTGCCAGGCTTCACAGCCCCTCGCCACTCCAGCTGTCCTCTGCCGGGTGATCACTGCTTTCTCTGCATCACACACAAAAGGTCCCCAGAACAGAACTCCATCCCTGGCTAGCACTGCCTGGGATCCGCCCGTGCTTCTCATGACACAGCTAAGATTATGCTAATGTTCCAGCAGCTCTGGTGGCTCCTAACGACCTGGTGATCACTGAAATCCTCCACTCCCAGATGTTCAGCCATGCTGCTGGCCAGGGCCTTGCCTTGGGTAGTTACAGAATTGAATCACAGCACTTCACACTTCGCTTCCACGCCATGGGTTTGGATCAGTATCCTCACCTGCTGAGATCATTTTAAATGAGTCCATGCCATTTAAAAAAAAAAACAGAAAAGCACTCTTTCTAAGTTGTTATTCACATCATATGGTGGGGAGAAAAGGTTAAGAACAAAGACTGAAGCGGCAGCCTGGCCGCAGAGCTGCCCTGCCCAGCACAGCAGCTGATAACCACGCGGCTCTTACACTTGAAAAGTGCCCCATTCGAATTGAGACGTGCTGTAAGTCACACCAGATTTCAAAGTTGGAAAGTAAAATAAAGTTAAACATCTTAGTGATTT